TGTTAGACGATGTTCTCCTGGCTACGAATGTGTTTCATAAACATGTGAATCTAAATAACTAATTTTTGTTTTAGCTTTTTTTACTTTAAAAGTCATTTTTTGTCATTTTTAAGTCATATTTGTATTTTTTAGGTCATTTTTTAATGTTTTTTTGGCTATCAACTTCCAAGCCTTATTTACAATATAAATACTGTATATTTTATGATTATATATTTAAGTGTAGTATTTAAAATACACGTAACACGTTGCATAAAAAATAAATGATTTGATAAATATCTTTACAGATTATATCGTATATATTGTAAAGTACTTAATTTTTATCCAAACGTGTTATAATGAGCATCTAATAATGTCTATATTACCTAGGTTACAAAAATAAACAGCTTTAATATTATTATTTATTTTATATTTACTGTTTTTTCGGTAACTCTGCACATTGCTGCTAATCATTTTAATTTCAATACAAATTACAGCAGTTTTTTTAATTTAATTATTATTATACGTAAATTATAGATATAGTTAATATGTAGATATTAGACATATTGTAAAAAAAAAAAAAATTGTAACTGGGGCGATATGCTTTTACACTTGTAATTGCTGGAAAATATAATTACTTACCAGATACAAATATTAAATTCAAGTTATGATCTTCCTTCTGATCTTCGGAAGGTTCTTATGGTCGTGTTTTAATGAATATGATCAAGTACACTGTTACGTAAATTTAATATAAAAACTATGATAATAATATGTAGTATATTATGGTATAATATGACCATGCGTATGTACCTTACCAGATTCACAGCAGTAAACATGTTATGTTTGTTAGGAAAAATCTAGGTAACATAAATGAAAAGACAACTTTCTGAACACTAAAGTCCCAATAAAAACCAACACTGGTTTAGCTTTTTGAAAAGAAAAGGTTCAGTTGTCGTTCGTAAAATCTTGTGTTGAGAGCTCTTGCTCGGGTAGTGCTGTGGTAGGTGCGTATGTACTGTCGAAAGAGAAAATAATATGGTCAGTCCAGCCAGAGAGACTGGCGGCTTCATTAAAGACTTCTGTGTTCGCATGCAACTAGCCTTATCCTTGACGGTAAAGACCCTTGTTCGGTCTTCCCCAGTCTCAGGCGGTAGGAACACAAGAATGTCACACGTCTTGTACCTCATTTTTTTTATGATACAAATCGTCTCTTTCATTGGTGATGAAAGAGTTATGTTATGTTAGAATTTAGCCGTTTTTTACGTTACTTCGCCGTTGTTTATTTATTTATGTTAAATTTATTGTACAATGATATGTCAGCATATTATTACAATATATATACATACTACGTATAAGTACTTAAGTATATCTGTATATCTATTAATATCTGCCTACTTATGTATAGATACTCGGTACTTATTAATGTTTATTAGTTATACATAGTTGTATTACTTATATTACTTTTATTTAGCCACCTAGGTATTACTGTAAATTATATAGTTATTGCATTCTAAAATCATAACACATGCCGGCATACGCACTTTTTGAATAATACATCTACACAAAATACTATGTATAAATATATTATGTATAATTATAATACAGCCAACACGGTAACACATAGGTACTCCAAAATTCTAACGCGATGTGATGTAGGAATATATTTATTATTATCATTATTATTATTATTATTATTATTTGTATATTTAAACGGGCAAACCCAATTACAATTATTATAGACGCACGTCTAGGATTCACAATAATATTTTGTTATTACATTATTGTTAGTTTTAAATTTAATACGGCAGTACAGATAGTAATATAATTGATAAATTGACAGGTTTAAATATAATAAATGTAATGTTCAGACAATTATGATTGAAAAAATTCACCGAAAGAAAAATATCAAGAATACAAAAGTAAAAATATTTAACAATGAAAACCTAACTTAAAATAATATTGATATAAAATGTAACATCTATACAGTCAAAAGATATTTAAGTAATAATTAAAATCATTTAATAAAACATAGGAAAACAGAGCAACATTTAAATAATTTATAAGTTGCATTAATCTGTTTAAAGGGGCATTTAAATAAATATTTCTATACGTGAATATTTATGCAGCTATCTTAACCATATATTTATTATTTTAAGTATTTAATTAATTAATAATTATTATTCCAATTACAAATGTATTCTATGCCCATGATGTGTTAAATACTTACCTATTGTAACTAGAGCTATTATATGCCTAAATACTTGTTGCCTTCATATTATTGGGCATTAGCATATAAACGAATATCTGTGTAAAATGCCAATAATAACTATTATTTGAATATAGATTTACAATATTTAGTTTAAATACTGTTGTAATTTATCATAAGTATATTTTTTTACATGGGTATACCTTCGCAGCTTAAAATGTAATATCGCCCTATATAAAATGTATAATATTTGTTTTAATGATATATACTAAGAAATAAAATATATTGGCGAGTAGGTAAATTGATACGGAATTTGCAAATACAATACCAAAATTGAAAACACATAAACTTATTATCATTAGGTACTTGCTATTGAAACTATTCAATAGCGAGCCATTTAGCGATATAGCCATGCATAGGCATTAGACACCTAATGATTTTTTCAGTATTATAATACGTTTAATATGCGCTAATGGGTTAATGTATATAATAGATATAAAGGTTTACCATTAAATATTAATTGTTATATACGTTTTTGAATTAAAATTGTAACTAAAGAAATGCTAAATCATTAAAATCTTTATCAAAGCGAATACGGTTATAAATGTATTTTAATATTTAATGTAAAAGTGAACAATACGTATACTAGGTTAAAATAATATTAGGACGGTAATATCCATTTCCTTTATAATATATTATTATAAAGTACATATATCTACCGATTACCAACATTTATAATAAACTATTATGTTTTGTTATTCTATTCACTCATCTTAAATGGTCTCGATTATAATAAAGTGTGTGTACTATAGGTGTACGTGTTAAAACTAAGGCGTATTCCGTCGCGTTTCGAACGCTCCATATATCTGTACAATATCGTCAAAATCTAAAAAAAAAAATGGTAAACCCCATAATTATTGTATCAATAGTATAAATATTGCATTACCGTATTCGAATAGTTCTAATCTATTTATTATTATGTATTTATATTATTTATCGAGTAGGTAATTAAAGTAAATAGATAAAATTTTGAATAAAATTATTGAAATCATAAAATTATGATATAAACACGACGTTTTCCGTTATCAGTAAAGTCCATCCTAATTTAAAACTATGTAAAATTAGGAGCTTGCGTTTTTATTATATCGGCGTTTGTCCGCCAAACGCAGCCGACCGGCGCTTTCCGCCACGGATGAAAACGCGGCGTATTACATCCGTCGTGTATAGCTATTTCGATAAATGACAATGAATTTTAAATTCAGCGGCAGACACCGCGAAATACGTCGTGTACCTATAGCCCTGGCCTAAGCTTCGTATCATTATGACAATCGGAGGTTTGGGTAATTTGATACTTTCATATTATATTAAGATATATACTAAAGCAAAAAATATCGACGCCGATGAAGTAATCGAAAAATCTTTAAAAAAAATGGTTCCATGTGATCGTCGTTTAGTTTTATAAATATTTATTATTTGTATTTTTAAATAAAAAAAAAATCATAGATATTTAAAACAAATATACAACAGTGACATAAATTAATTAAGAAAAAAAATGATATCAAGATTGTGCACCCCTCCTCTCACAATTTAAAAGTACGTATATGAATTTATCAGGAAAAGGATGGCCCGTCTAATAAAAATCTCTGATTCCGCCTATGACAAACGATGTGTATTAAAATTAATTAAACTAATTTTGAATCACATAAGAGGCGTAATTTTAATAGACAATGAAATGATCGAGCATAGCTAATGTAATATACATTATTTTAAAAACTGCGTGTCATTTTTAACGAAAGTAAAAATATTTAAAAATGCCATTACCTATTTGTATATTTTAATTTAGAAAAAAACTATTTCACTAGTTACTCGCCTTTTTGAGTTTGGTGGTAGTATCATTATCATACCGCGTTTCAAAAACAGTAAAAATATTAGAAAAACGTTTGAATCAATAGCACAAAATTAAAATAAAATTATAACAGACAATTGTGACTTAAAACAATGACACAAAACTTTAACTTAAAATAATATAATACGGAACTGTCAAATTTTAAGAACTTGCGTCGTGATTCTGTATCTACGTACGTGTAAACACTAACATAACGTATAAGTAACACTTTATAATAATACAACGATAACGGGTTGAATAATTTTTAGATTTTTAGACGTTCGTTGATCATAGACATTTGATTAATTTAGAACTGCGATAACATTTTAATAGAATAATCGCGCTGACTTAAACATTTTAACTTTGAAAACTGGAGTAAATTACACACTAGTATTATACGTCATCTGTGTATATAAAGGTGTGTACCAGTAAATAAAATATATGTAAAACCAGTGAAGCAACTAAATAATATAATTTAATCGAGGACTAAGGATAATGTACGAAGTACAAAAGAACGCGTGATTAAATAATTACGTATTTGACGCGCGTGTATTTTAAACGTCTGGAGAAACAAATTCGCTTTCACGAACATTGATCTCGAGCCTCAACAACAGCCGTTGAAATCTATCAGATCAAATTGATAAAACGTTTGACATAATAAATTGTCCACCATGGCAAGAGTGGACTTTAAAGTTTAATTAGTATACTCTTTTATGCCGTGTCGTGTTCAAGCCGGACTGAATTTTGAACACGACTTTTCGCGCCCAACCGCGGATATCAGCTGACCGTAGTAATATTACCGCAACAGCCGTGAGGTGTCGTTTAGGGGTTCCGTCGGCGAACACACCTGTGTCATCGTCGCCAACAGCTTTTGCGTCTTATTGCGTTAGCGTTATGTCGCTGCCCGTCAACCAGTAACCAGTTGTCGTCGGTCCTCCGCGTACGACGTTTAGTCGCGTCCGACGCCGTTGCCGCCGCTTGTCTTTGCAGTTGTCATATTTATTTTAAGTATTTCTATCCGCCGTCAGTGTTCATCGTGCCGTTTGATTGTGCGTCGCGTGTCTTGTGCGAATCGATTACGTCTTGACTCGTTGTCACCGCGATATCACTATTACCAGCTGGGTGTTGTTCTGTATTCCGGCGTCTCCTTCTGGACTTACGTTTGTCGGCAGCACAGGATCAACAACTCCGTTCGTTTCACCACGTGAATATTATTATTATTTTTATTTTATCATATTAGTATGTAAGTACTATAAGTAGGTCAATTAAAATAAAATATATTCCCAACAGATTTAAAATGTTAATTAAACATATTTCTATAAATAATGTAAAATCGTCCGTGATAATTGAGAAGAAAAATAAGTTATGCTGTCGTGTAATTCATATTATTAAACTCCTAAGTGCGTATTTAAATACTGCTGTACAATATATAGGCGTAACTATTGGGCCTAAGTATTGGCTTGGGCGGGCTTCAGTCCCCCAGAATTTCTCAAAGCCTTCTCTAGAATTTTTGGGTAAATGCATGTGCCTGTAAGTGTATTAGTATTACCTTTATTTTTGTCCACAATGTACGAAAATATAATATTTCATAAAAACGAATATTTCGTGTATCTAACAAAACTAAAAGTTATATTAAATTGTATTTGTTTGGTATTATTATTATACATATATTATTCTATCGGTTAAACACTCGACATATTTGTTTACAAATTATGTTATACATTAATATCTTTATAAATAACACTATATTGGTTTTAAGACGTGTATTTATGATTTGGTTTTAGAACATAAGATTTACATTATACATTTAAATCTATTTTTAAATATACATTATTGAATGGATGCGTGGAGAGATATTTATTTTAAACTATACGCATGATAATACTAGATATAAATCCACGAACCTAGGTATTGTATTTATATTTATAAAACTATAAAAATTCCGGGAAACGATCTGATCATATATACGTCTTACAGTATTAGCGGATATCCTATGATTCATACGTCAACTTAATTTATATTTTTAAAATTAATTATCATTATATACAATAAATCATAGTATAATCAATAGCAAAATAAGTCATGTGTTATGTAAATAATCAAATATACATATAAAAATTGTTAAAATCCAAATAACTACGTTTATCGTAATATTGACCCGTTATTATATAAAACAATAATATAGCCTACACCTTTTAATAGAAATTAATACAAAATTTTAAAAATGTTTAATCTGACTAGTGTGTTGTTGGTAACCGATCAAAATTAACACGGTTGAAACGCAAGACAATGCATTTTATTATTTAATTAATATTTATTTATAATTATATTTTTGCGAAAACAGATCCTAGAATTTACCAGCCCTTTCCTTCTGCTTAGAATCACGACTATTTGTTTATAAATAACTCAAAAAGTTTCAAAATATTTTAAAAGGTTTATCGTTTAGATAGTTTCCAGTATTTTTGAATATTTATTTTCTTATTACATCAAAATAATAAAAATCATTCGAGTAGAAATAGTTATGTTACTGGTGAGTATGCTACATTGTAAAAATATGAACTAATTTGACTTTATCAGAATATTTTTTTTATTTTTAATAACAGTTGAAAAACTTATAAACAACCTCGTATAAAATATTTAAATCCTACATATGGATATCACATATGTTATGATTTCATAATTTTAAAATAATTTGCTAATTTTTACGATTATGACAAAATTCAATAGGTTTTTTCGGATTATCAAGTAAAGTAATGAGAATATTTTACTTTTAACCCCTCTCGAAGTTAACTACTATATCTAATTTGCAAAAATGTTAAATATTTTTACTTTGCTTTTATTACCTACTTATCATCAGAGTTGGGATTTTATAACATTTGCATATTTCATATGATATGTTTAAAAATATCAAAGTAAGCTAAAAATGTGTTTCATGACACAAAAAACTCAAATTAATAATTTTACTTTGGTTTTTTTTGCATATTTTGTAATTTTTTAGTTTTTAGTGCTTTTTTGTGTTTTTACCTGTTTTTGAATCAAAATCGGAATATTTTTTGAAATTATATTTTAACAATTCGTGTTTTTAGATTTTTGTCAATCAAATTATCAAGTAAATTATAAATGTGTAGATTAAGTAAATAAATCAATTACACTGATGTAACGGCATACTATTACAACGATAATATATAGCTATAATAAAATAATATATAGGTATAATATAATATTACGATAATTTTTGTTATTTGCTGATTTTATTGGGTTTATTCGTCGATTTCTACTGTATGATTTCCTTTTTTGCATATTTTGTTGTTTTTATTGTATATTTATGCAATTTTAAGTGCTATAAAATCCCAATCTTGCTTATTATACTGTAGAAAATCCACAAAATAAGATGTATACCTAGATGTATTATTAAATATACAAAAGATTTTTAAACCAAAATATTAAAATAATATTAGGTATATAAGATTATTTATTTAATTGTGTATTTAAACGAGTGAATTCAGTTACAATTATATGGACATAGATATGTTATTATGGAATAATTTTAGTGAACTACAAGCACCAAGTCAAAGTTCACAGTTCTAGAAATAATAAATAAAAAGAACCGAGAAACGATAAAAAAAATGTTTAAAACAACTTTATAAATTATTTTAATAACATTGATTATTGATTGATCCAGTTTGGTAAAATTGTGTATTGTGTAATAACTAATAATTTATAATAGAAGCACACACATAAGCATTCTACGTTTGGGTAACTTTAACGCTGGTATTAAAAATCTATCTACATAATTGACTAGGTATTCAAATTATGTTTTTGTGAGCAATAGATTGTTGAGATTTTAGGGTATGGTTTAAGTTTTTGTAATTTTCTTTGTTTGAAACAAAATGTTTTTTCGTAATTATTTCTTGACTCTTACTACTCAATTAAAAACGAGCATTTAATACAAAAAAACTTTTGAATGTTTTAGTGCATAAATTACAATTTAATAAGCATAAGTTAATATATACTACTGTTCTGAATTATGATAAATTACATGACAATACATCAACTTAAATACAGTAGAACTTCGATTAACCGTCACTCTCTGTTATCCGTCATCGGTCATCGCCGAAAAAAAAAATAATTAGGCGATTAGACGATTGTGATAAACTCGTCGTGGTGCCCAACACAGTAACTATAAAGTGTATAAAAATAGTTTGTAATATGTACATATCCAATATGAACGATAAACATGATAAACGAACTATAAATTTATGTGTGTATGTATTGTAATTTAATCAGTGACCGACGTACAGCCTACGTGTAAGTGTGTACCGTGTGTATTAGTGTTTTCGTAGTTTATGTGTCGTGTACACACACGTAAAAATATAATAAATGTGTGTATATGTATGTACACGTTTTTTTTTTTGCAAAATTTCCGTTAACCGTCTATTCGATTAACCGTCATAGCCCCGGTCCCGACAGTGACGGTTAATCGAAGTTCTACTGTACAAAGATATACCTAATGAAAGCCAATAAAGTTTTATTGTGAGCTAAATACATGTACACAACAATTAAATTACGCGCGAATGAATTATTATTTACAAAAAAGTTGTCAAAAAAAATTATTGTTGTTTATAATTAAATAAAAATTTGATATACATATTAATGTATCAAACATGAGTTAAACAGCTGCAGTAGTGATCAACTGTAGTATTCTTATAAAACTCATGTTTTAGATTTGCTTGTTTACGAATAATACATAAAATATTATTTCCTTGTATAATTTAATCATATTATCATATTTACTTATACTATATAGAGTTTAACAAGAGAATCTCAATAATATAAAATTATATTGTAATTATTCATCAATTATAGATTATTTTTAACTGTATAGATTGTCCAGCTTCGTTCTTTATAATCAGAGTTCGAGATGTATAGCATTTGCATATCCATTTTAGGTGATGTAAAACATAACAGAGTTTAGCAGAGTGTTATACAAATACGTTTTATAGTACGGAAAATTTAAATATACAATTGTATTTTGCATATTTTGAAAGTTTTTGCATATTTTTTTTTTTTTTTTTTGTTAAACTGACGCATATTTAACGATTATTATCCATTGATTTAAAATATATTAATTACAAAAATTTGTTTTGAGTATAGTAATACTATTTGTGTACTGTGTAGCTATCTGTCATAAAAATGTTATACGTAAACGTGATTTTTAAATACTCAACAAATCGAAAATCATGTAGTTATTTGAGATAGTTAATTGAAAAAGTCTGATGTGCGTACTTATCGTACTTGTGATTTAGTATTTTTTAAATATGCTCCCATTACTTCTGTCACCATAGAATGTTCATTTTCGGGATACAAGTGTATTCTAGCCGATAATAGAAGAGCCTTCCAGTTTGAAAACACCTTATAGTTCAATGCTATCACAAAGGTTATTTTGTTAACAATTTTTTTAGTAAATATTTACATATATTTTACATAAATGTGTATTTTTCAGAACATTTTAAACCCAATTATTAAAGATATTATTTTGATTTTTTTAATTAATTATTTAAAAATTATATTTAAATTACATTTTTTTTAAATATATTTATATCAAATAATTCATTTGTCTTAATGATTTCTTAAATGTTTTTTCATTTTTAGGGCATATTTTTAAGTTTATTGAGTCATATATATGCGCATATTTTAGTGCTTTTTAGTTCTATACGTCCCGAACACTATTTATAATACCTATACTATTTAGATCACACAATTTCCTCAATACCATAGTATTAGTTACAATGATTATATCTACATTTATTTTTTGTATTCAATTTGAGTTTTGTGTGTTAGTCGATTTCAAATAGAACACTATAAGAACATCATAAGATTTTAATTATAGTATAGCTATTAAGTATAATAAATTAATAATATAACTATTATTGTCATCTACGTTAATTATATGGTTAAATTTTAGTAGTTAATATTTAGCCAATGAAATTAAATTATGAAAAATATTTGTGTACATTGATATGTAATAGTATACTCTGTACTAGTATTCTGTTATATTCTAATACATTTATGCTTAACCGTACATACATATTATATTTTTATAGTAGTTTTGACAAAACTGTGTACGGTGAATCGGTGTTTCGATTAAGATCGCATTTAGACCAGTATATCTATCATAATATGTACTTTTACGATATCAAACGT